ACAAACACACACACACACATACACACACACACACACACACACACACACACACACACACACATAATACACACACATACACACACACACGTCAGTGGGATGTTGGCTGGCACTCTGGTGTGGTTTGTTCCTTCTTTTCGATCAAACTTCCATCCTCCTTATCTCTCCTCTTACCGTTATTCTCTAGTAACACTTCTAATCCTCGGCACGTATATGACCTACAGGCGTCTGTGGTGTACCGGTTAGGCTCTTTGCTGACGCGCGCAGGAGACCCTCGTTCGAGTCCCGAGTGGTGAGAATATTTTAACCAAATTTTTAATATCCCGGACATTCTGCTGGGATGTACCCCCTCTAAGCCAGGGTAGGCCCTTGAAGGCAGGGTCGGAAGCCCGCCACTTAAATTATCTAAATTATAGTGTCGATGGCGGCGTAAGAATACCTACATAAAACAAACACAGGCATGGAAATGAGCGTGCTGATGAACTTGCCTGCAAAGCAGCACCCAGTGGCCGAATCATACCCGACCCGCCAATGGGGATCGCCGGATGCAAGGAGAGCCTTCACGACCAAAAGTGGACAGACTCCCACACACTCAGTACAATAAAAGAAAAGAGTGTGCAGGGCACAGGGGAAAAAAGTTTGCGTGTCTCAAACCAGCTCCTCATGGAGACAATTAGCAGGAAGACCCTGGGGAGGACGCTGGAAAGGAGAGATGAGCAGCTAAGGACATGTGCCGCCTGCTGTGATTCTAGCTCTGGATACAAGTAATTCCAAGTAAACAAACAAACACACACACACACACACACACACACACACACACACACACACACACACACACACACAACTTACATGACTTATTTGTGTTGCCAGCGCCGTAAAACTCTTACTAAGGGCTATCTAAACCTAAGACATGAGATACTCACTCCATGAGCTTCTTGAGCTGTGAGACTTTGGCCAGGGCGTTGGAGAAAGAGCCGCGGGCCGAGCTGGGTGACCTTGCCGTTTCCTCGGTGCCTGGCTCCGTCCCGCCATCTGTGGACTCCACGCTCTTCCGGCCGCCGCTCTTCCGGAACCGGGACGCTGCCCTCAACAGCGACATCTCGGCCAGGTCAGGTGACTGCAGTGGTTGGCACGAGATCAACTGCTAACTTCACTTTCACCTCAAGGAGGTTACAGTAATGGAGGATGCTCTGTGGGCGGCACCGCACGCCTGATAGATTTAAGCTCCTTGCTTCACCTTTACCTTCACCTTCACCTATCCCGTAGACTGGATGTCCGTCGGGGCGCTTTTGAAGGTTTTGCCACCAGCTTCCTCTACTCCTTCTGGTCTTCAGCTTTTCTGCTGAGCCTGTCTGTGAGTTCCAGGCCTGCCCATTCCTTCAGGTTGTATATTGTACTATATTACTATGCTATTTTAAATTATGTTTTTATCGTGTTTCAAAATTCATCAATTTAATGTGGGTGGTTGGCGGGTGCTCTGGTGTGGTTTGCTTCTTCTTTCCTATCAAACGTCTATCGTCTTTACAGTATCTCCCCTCCTTCTTTTTTGTGTTTGTTATTCTCTTGTAACACCTCTAATCTTCGGCACTTATAAGATCTTATTGTATTGCAAGTGCCGTAAAACACGTTAAAATTTTTTAAAAAAAGAATTCACCAAGTTAAACGCTATCGAGCGCCTTTTTAAAGGGAAACAACTGAAGAATACCTGCAGGCTGTGCCGCGCACATAGAAGATAACTCTCTCACAAACTGAACATACAGGCTGTTGTGGTGGTCTAGACACTGTGCTGCTACTGGCCAACATTATCCACGTGAAAACCGGCTGTTAGGTTTGAAAACATTACAAATCCATTCTTAGCGGAGTTCCAGTTAGCCAAAGAATATAATCCTTGTGTCGCGGGATCTGAAAATGATAAGAAAAACAAATAAAGGAGCAAACATGGCCATAGATGTATGTTTTATACGACAGAAAATACATGTACAGCAACCGGCTACGTACTCAACAATATTTACGGGTGGTTGGAGGGTGTCACTGGCAGATCAGTCTTTTCTTTTTCCTTTTCCTCTGTCGTTGATGTCTGTCAGTCCCGCTCTTTCCCCGCAGTAAATTATGGTCATAATTGTGTTAATGTACTTCTTTTGGCTCGAACAAACAACATAAAGCAAACTTTATTTCTAGTGTCCGCAGAAAAAAACGAATTATGCCTCTACGCCATTTCTGAGGTACAATTCTTTCTAACAAGATTGAAGTTGAAGGTAACAAATAATGTATTACTCTTAGCCTTCGTCACATCCGGCATGTAGAATATTTAATTTTAGAAAGTGTTTTACGGCACTTGCAACACAGTAAGGTCGTAAAAGTGCCGAAGATTACAGGTGTTACAAGAGAGTAAAAACACAAAAATGAAGGAGGAAAAATAAGGACGATAGATGTTTGATAGGAAAGAAGAAGCAAACCACACCAGGGCACCCACAATGTAGAATAATAATATGCTAAGTGTCACTCTTGCAAACATACGAAAAAGTGTCCAGACCTGCACATTCCAACACATATACGTACATACTGTATGTAATGCATATTATTATAAATAAGACTGTCACACAAGTACTATAATACAATTTTAAATTAAAAAGTAACACAGGCAGTCGTGCTCACATAGACACAACTTAATGTATTGACAACGAACGTATTAGTAAGATGTGCTAGTCTATAATATAAGCGAAAACACACACCCACATGCCCCCCCCCCCAACACATTGTACAAGCAAACTATATGTAACCATGACTCTGATGGGGCCACTCACACATCAACTTGCAAGCCACGCCATTAAATTGCCCAAAACTAGAGTGCTGGGTGGTCACACCACAAAGGCCAATATTTGTCCGTCATTTACTGACGTTCCTCCCTGGCCTCCCAGAACCAATCAATACGTATGGGTCGGTACGCAATACATCGATCTCCTGGGCTCCCGCACTCATTTTCTAATAACACACGTGTACAATAATTATATGATTCTGTCCCTTTACCGTTTACATACTACATACCGCGGTGTCTAGTATTCCTTTCGCACTCTCTCTCCCTCCCTCCTTCTCTCTCTC